CCCCCCCCCCCCCCCAAAATTTAAAATAATCAGGTCTTCCAAAATAACCACTATAGGGTTTTGGGGTAATATTTGGTTGCCATCGGTAATGGCAATGATAGAGTACAGATGAACTAAGATATAAGAAGCAAAGATCAGTTGAAATGATTGATCAAAACACTCCTTTTTTATATATGAAGGATATTTATTTTTTTTCAAATGCAGAACTTGTGAGTTCACAGGTTTTTTGTTAATAATATATTTTACTAGAAATGAGTTTGCCTGTTTTCAGGGAGATGTACTAAACTTTCATAACAGTTGGATTTTGCAATGCATCTCTAACTTAGGAGTATCATAACTTTTAAGATAATTACCTCCCATTTTAGTGACTGCCTTAAATTTTTTTCTAGTCAGTACAGAGGGAGATTGGATATGTGATGACATAATGATGATCAATAGACTCAAAGATCAGTGCTAAAGGCAGGTTTGGGAATACTTAGCCAGTGGGATGCATCTGCTAAAAGAGAGCATTTTCAAAGACTGCATTCCATCTGACTATCTGGGAAAATTGCCTTCTGACATCAAGGCTTTTATGGCTGATAAGAAGAGCTTTAAACTGAGAAGTGAGGGGAAAAGGTCAAAAGAAACTGGTTTAATTTCCAAACCTTGTTAAGAAAAAAAATCTGATAGACCAAGATACAAGAATGGATAAAGGAATATCAGTGGTGAAGAGATGGATGATGAGGAGAAAGAAAACACAGGTACTGACAGAACAGTATTCAGGCACTTCCTGTGAGGAGAGTATATCTAATCCAAACAAGGTACTGAATTTTTCAATATAGAACTGCTAACAGGTAAGCACACAAATGAATAGCAGGTAATGCAATGGAGAATGAATATCCAAGTAATGCAATGGAGAAATGTGAATTATTGCTCAGGCTGTAAAAAAAGACATTTAGCAGAAAGTGAGTGAAATAACAGAACCAAACCCAAGCACTAAAATTTCTTGTGTTTAAGAGAAGACAGAAATAAAAGAAAACCCACATTTTCATGTGCTAATGATATTCTTGGATCCAAAGAAACAAGAAGGGGGAATTGGAACAAAATGTAATCCTTTCCAAAGGCTTTCCTAAGAACTCCTTCAGACTAGTGTTTGGGCTCTGCTATTGATAATTTAGGGTGAATTTTATTATGGAAAGAGAAATTAGATAGTTAATGTAGATATAAATAGATTTTTTAAATTGTATTTTATGGGTCCTCGCCTTTTCAGATACAGATTAAAGAGAGAATGCTTCAGTTTTTAATAAAGGTCATGATGCTGGCAGTGAGTAAAAACAAAGTAACTGTGCTAATGTTTAATTTTACACTGTATTTCACAAGTCAGTAGAAGATACATACAAAGGATTTTTAAAGGAATATGTTGAAAATGAGAGCTGGTCTTGTCTTTCATGAGGCTGGGAGGTATGTCCTAAAAGTTTAATATAATTCATGAAAACTTTCAATGAGTCTGAGTTTTATAGGGATTTATCTATGTAGTCTGCCAGAAATCGTTTCGTCACACTTGAAGGAGCTCCTACATACGGTCAAGGTTATAATTCATTACTGAAAATACCTGTCTCTTTTCTTTGGCCTCAAAATTTTGTTACTGAACATGAAACAAATTCTTGCTTGATTGTTTTTAAATGGGATTCAATTAATCAGTTAGACAGAATTGCTTGCAACTTTCCCCATATTTCCTGAAGAGCCAAGCCACTTAATAATCATAAGACTAAATTACATTTAATTTTAATTTTCTAATCCTTGAACCAAAATACCATTGAATCCTCTCCTAGCATCATTGTTCATAGTAGAAAAGAGTCAATTAACTTGCAAGTTAAAGAAAGTACATTCCATGTCTCCTTTTTAAACACAGTTTATATTCTTCAGCTAGAATAATGTATAAATAGTTTTCTTTCAGTCTACGCTAGTGATTAGAACAATGTCTTATTTACTGCAGCACTTTGGTGTACACTGAAGATGGGAACAGGATTACTATTTTTATTTTATTCTGTTCATTGCAAATCTTTTCAAGTTCCAGATGTTCTTCCCAGATTTTAAGCTTTCTTTCATTAACATGAAACAGACCATTGTTCCTTTTCCTGAAAGTCAAATCATGCCAAGATACATCAAAAGTCCGTAGATTTCCATCAGAAACCGTTATGGTACTGCTGAGTGTAACTTTTAAAATTCACCTGAATTAATCAATACATTTTCTGTAATCAGTGTACTGGTTGTCTGAGTTCAAAGAAAAATACCAGCTGAAAATTCAAAGCCAACAAGGAGCACAGAAATTGCTCTGTAGATAATCTTTTCCCACATTGTATGTAGGGATGGAATGATAAAACATTCAATTTCAAGAGACAAAGAAAAAACCAAGATTAAAAATAATGCACTCTGGAAAAGAAACTTGATGTTCTGTGGAATAATGCTACCAGGTGAGCTACTGCCTCCATGAATTTGAGGCTCTGCTGCTTCAGAAAGCTCAGGTTATTATTCCTAATATGTTCTTACTGCATTGACACATCAGCCTTAAAAACTTGCAGTGTCATGTGCTCATTCATTGCATTTGCTTGGCCAGAGTCCACCACATGCAGCAATTGTTGTTCCACTAGATGGCCAGCTCTTGCTGCAGTTTTTACACAGGAAGGTTGTGAAAACACCGCTAGTGGCACAATACATTTTGCTTTGCAGGAATCAACATGAGGTATAAAACCATATGTGTGCCCTCAGCTCATCATGCACATTTCCGTATTAGGACCATGAGGTATAAGGAACAATCGTTAATCTTTGGAAGCAGTTTGCATATGGGTATCTGTGGTCTAGCCTATCTACCCTGAGAAAAGGACTGACATAGTCATTAAGCTAGTCCAAGGTCTGGATTCCAGCAGCATCTTTCTCAAACGAGATGAGAAAGCGATGCCCTGCTACAGGCAGCGAAGGGCAGGGCTCCTCACGGCTTAGGCTGCGCATTGTGACTCACACCTGCACTGAAAGATGAGATCTGTGCATGCGTAATTTCATGTTAATGTCACCTTCGGGTTGAATCTTCTCATTTTTCAAAGATAAAATAAGTGGAGGGAATAAAGAAATATCAATTTTACTCAATAGGGATGTCCACACAGGTTGCTGTAGCTCACATAGAGCAATGGAAAGAGGTAAAGCAGCAAGCAAAGCTGTGGTTATACATTTGTCACCGTGTTATGCGGAGGGAAAAATGATTTGTTTCTGTTTTGGTTAATACAACAGTAGGATTTCTTTTCAAACATAATGACTATATGCTGAGAAGCTGAAAATCCCAGGAACAAAAGACCTGATCCTACCCATGAACTGCTGTCAGTTAAACACCTGATGTGAACCAGAGCTGAGTGTAAGCAGCCACGTGCGTCCACCCAAATTATGGAACCAAAATGAAGAAACTGGAATATCTATGGTTAAGAGCATAAAAGATATAGCAACTGTGCTGGCAGAGGAGAATCTTCACCTTCCCAAATATTTTTCAATAAGAATATCAATGATATCCTGTGGTTGGATTTAATATCCAAACACTACTGAAAGACATTGAAGGCAGGGAAAAGCTTTCATTTATTCCTTCAGAAGTGACAGTTTAGCCCTTGATTTCATTCTTTTCTGTGTCATTCAAATTGGTTCTTTGGCTAATGTTATCCATTTGAGTGAATGCACTCATTACAGTATATTGCTATACATACGGACCTTATTTGTATGCAGTTTAAATCACTTTGTAATGAAAAAACGTCACTTGAGGCCAAATATAAGCAGCACAATTTGTGATTTAATAAAGACATAAACAA